ATCGAAGGTCGCCGACGGAAGTTTGACGAGAAGATCCTCGCCCGATTCCTCGATCGCATGGCTGGTTTCCGATGAAGCCGCAGTTGTATTGGCTCCCTTACAGGGAGGTAGTTTCATTGGTACGCCTGTTGCACAGGCTAAGTCCGCCACGGCCGCCGGTACGACAGGCGATGCCGACGACGGTATTGTCGGTACGGAGATCGGCTCTGCAACATCGGAGCATACTTCAGGACCAATCGCACAGAATCACCCATTGAGTGAAGAAGCCAACGAGCTCAAAAGCATACAAAATGAATACTCCGCAATACAAAACCAACGCGCAACGCGGCCGAAATGCCTGAACTAATCGCGTTGTTTGGTCAACTCGGCCCCCATTCAAACGTGTAGTTTAGAGTGTACGGCATGTAATGCCTATGAATACAACTCGGAACCAAAATAAGACAGAGACCCAACGCGCTACAATAACAGGGTGCGTTGGTCCATTCCATTGGCTACCTTATTATTTTTTCATAGACCTTACAGGTCGTACACTAGAAAATAAATACGCCTGTTGCACAGGCTAGTAACACTTGGGACAGAGGGGTAAAACAACTCAAACTTACCCGGAACTGGATCCGACCGGAAGATAGAATCCACTTCAGAATCTTCGCGAGGCAGATGAGAATACAGAAGACAACCCGGAGGATTCTTCAACAAGTCGTTCTCTTTCCAAGCAGGAATGTTAGCGGCTCGCATCACGCAAGAAGCACGAATAATACCAAAATTTAACTGACGCACCCGATAAGCATCACGCCACTTTGCCGGCCCTACCACAATCACATGAAGATGTACACCTCGAACCGTACAAACAACACCGCCTTTGGGGTCGTGCACATACACTTCGTACTGCCAGTTCTTCAGTTCCTCCTTGATTTTCCTCAATATCGAATACAAAGGAATATCAGCACCAGCGTCGATATGTTTGATGGTTACGAAACTCTTGAAAGGAGATTTTCCCACCGACGATTCAAACGGACGTTTCCAGGCCTTGGATGTCTCCGGAATGAACAGTGGGTTGTTTTCGGTAGATTTTCTCAACGACGATTCAAACGGACGTTTCCAGGCCTTGGGTGTCTCCGGGGCAAACAGAGGGTAGTTCTCGGCCATCCGCTTACGGGAAAGAGACGGCATCCGAACAGAGGAAAAACGACTCATCTCAGGTGTCTCCGGGGTGAACAGTGCATAGTTTTCGGCCGTCCGCTTACGGGAGACAGACGGCGTCCGAACAGAGGACAATCTCTTCATTTTGGCAACAAAGGCATCGATATGCTTCTCCATGACGAACCGAGAGCAAGAGTGACGGCAGAGCGCTAAGTCAAGGGTTTTTATATGTTGCATTTATAGGCCTTATTTGTATTGGCTCGTAAGGAGAGAAAGAATAAAAAAACACTATAAACCTAGCGCAAAAACAAACACGTGATCACTGACGTAACCAAGAAACAGCGCCCTCTATTATTATTGTGGCAATTATTGGCGCCTCCCCGCGCCGCCTGACCACTACTTAAACGACTTTGCAATTGCACCTCCCCTCACCTAATTGAGGTCCTATCCTCATTTCCTATCACCTGGTTGGTGCGTCCGCCAGATCCAATTGTCGTTCCCGCCACAAATGGTGTCAGAAGTGGGATATTTATGGGCATAAAAATCGGACAGAAAATAAGTGATTTCACCAACTCTTGTGAGCGTGAGTTTGCGAAGATTAACACCTCCAAATTGCACCTTCGCTATAGTGTACACTAGCTGGAGGCGTTATTTGTTAGCGTGTGATTCGCATTGCGTTGTGTGTATCGTAAATAAAATCTGTGCAGAACAATCATTTATTGTTTGGTGTAAATTATTTCTTTGTTCAGTTTGCAATTGCACCTCCGCTGGAGGCGCTATTGTCGCTGTGGTTACGGCAAGTACTAGTAAACTATGGCTAAGTAATGGAATAGTGTTGCTTTCCCCTCCTTTGGGAGGTGAGGCACAACAAGATGTGGCCACCGAAGTTACAGGTGAGCCCGATAAGGCTGATGTGGAATTGAGCAATCTTATGCAGCAGATAAAACTGCAAGAAACCGAACTGCAACGCTCCCTTGATGAGTTATCAAGGAGACGGCAGCAAGCTGGCAAGTCCTGAGCGGCTGATATAGAAACCTCGCTCGGTACGTTTATACAACCGGATGAAGAAGACCCGGAGATATTATTTGGGCGTGTTGGTGGGGCAGGTACCGGCACCCATCAGACGCCGGGCAACGTGTTGTCTTATGACACGTCGGCTCCTGTTGTTCCCGGACCAGAGGGTACCGGACGTGAACAGTTGGTGCACCACGGAAAGACGCTTCCGGGGGGTGCAAAGCAGAGGACTCAAGGGCTCAGTCCTCTGTGGTCAGAGAACGCCACTCTTGACGAGTCCACAAAAATGGGTGGAGGCCCATTGCCTTTGGTAAGGGGTGGACAAGGGTTTAATGAACCAGTCATTATGGGTTCAAACGGGGCGATCAGAGGACGTCCCAATATTACACCCCACCGGTTCGAGGGTAAGACTCCATGGAGGGATTATCGTCGCCATTTTGAGGCTTGTAGGATAGCTAATGGTTGGAACGATAATCAGGCGGCCGTGTTTTTGGCCGCGAGTTTAAAAGGCATAGCACTGAAGGTGCTTGGAAATCAGAATAAAGATGAGGGGCAACCGGCACTCCAGTACAGGGAGTTGCTAGGATTGCTCGAGGCCCAGTTTGGGCCGGGTCAGATGGTCGAGAATTACCTAATGGAGCTTAGGTCAAGAAGGCAGGCGATAGACGAGTCCCTGCGTGATCTCGGTCAGGCGATTAGAGAACTTGTAGTTCTTGCCTATCCAGAGTTTGATGAAGAGGGCAGAGATCGCCTAGCGCGAGCCCATTTTACTGATGCCATTGCGCGTCAGTCGATTAGAGAGGGAATTTTCAGAACTAGACCGAGAACCCTCGATGAAGCAATTAGAGCCGCCCTGGCCACAGAAAACGTCGAGAGGATGGAGTCACTTTGAGAAGACCCAAAGAAATTAAAGCATTGCCGGGCGAGTGAGAAGAACGAAGATCAACTTTCTAACCAGATTAAACGAGTTGTGGCTGCACAACTCAGGGAGTTTCACGACTCTAACAAGGGGGCGACAGGGATTCCCACAAGGGAGATGAACAATAAGGGGAATCAGCAGGTAGAAATGCTGATATGCTACAGATGCGGGGGGAAAGGTCACTTTGCCAAAGAGTGTCCCTCAAGAAAGCAGGCGGGAAACGAACGCCGGTCGACCCTGGGCCCCGAGGGAAGACCGCAAAACAAAACCGAGGGTCAAAGGGGGAATTTCCCCATGCTGAGATAGTTCAGCCAGCATCGAAGTATGTTAAAGAGCGCATGATGCAGGATTGTGTATCAAAACAAGGCCTTTATGTAAAAGGCTCAGTACAAACGATTGATGTTCAATTTTTGGTTGACACGGGTTCAACAGACACACTTATTTCGGGTTCCGTGTATTATCAAATCCCGGAGGACAAGCGTCCGATATTTGAGAAAAATGAAATCAATGTTCGACAGGCAAATGGAAGCCTCATGGGTAACATACTAGGCAAGGCGGAACTGGAGATACGAATTGGTTGTGTGTGCAATATTTGCCGACCTTCCTGTCCCTGCAATATTGGGCATGGATTTCCTGTTGCCGGCCAAAGCAGAGTTAAACCTCCGTTCACTTGTACTTAGTGTTGATGGAGAGAAAATAAAATGTAAGGACCAAGATGGTTCCTCATTCTGTTTCCGAGTAGTAGTTAGGAAACTACATCGGTACCAGCTGGACACGAAGTAATAGTGCCAGGCTGCGTAAAGACAAACGGAAAAGAAGTAGCGCTGGGCATGATTGAGCCAGCGGACACTGGAGGTGAATTATCAGAACGAGGATTAGTGCTCGCTAGAACACTTGTCCGTGCCGGACAAGATGTAGTGGGTTTGAGGGTGTTTAATCCCGGGACAAGTAAGTGTGTGCTCTGCTGTGGTACGACAGCTGGTATGCTTACAGAAGTAGATGAATGTGACGTAGAAGAAGGCCACCTCCAGGAGGTGTCATCAGAAGATGAAGGGGAGGTTCCGTCGCACCTCCAAGACCTCCTTGAACGGACAGTTAGTAATCTATTACCGCATTATCATGGTGAAGTTGAGAAGCTACTGTGTGAGTTTCAAGACATTTTCTCCAAAGGAGACAATGATATTGGCCGCACTGGGCTAGTGAAACATCAAATAGACATGGGAAACACCCGACCGATAAAACAGAGGCTGCGTAGACAGCTGTGATGTTTGGAACGGAATATGGACACGGATTTGAGAGTAACTGTTTTATTCAGGATCGCATGTGATACAGTTGCCTGGTCAAAGATATACAACAACAGAGGGCGCTGTTCAACTACACTACATTCACCCTCTTTCTTTAGATAAGTGGTTACAACACTTAAACTTGGAAAAGTGTGCCAGCGGATGATTTAAATGAAAAGTTGCAAAAAGGGTTTCTGCTTGAGTTAACTGAGTTTGTTAAAACATTTAAGATTGTTTTTATGTTGAGCACTGAAGGTCGAGTGAGATAAGTTTGGAAGTAATAAAATGAAATAAAATTTTCCAAATAAGAATGAGTCGTACGTCTCCTTTAATTTGAGTGTTTGAAAAGGATCTAAATAAACTTTTCTTTTCTCTCTTTTTTTTTTTTTTTTTTAACAAACTTGTAGAACTTGGAACTTTCTCTTGTTCTTTTTTTTTTAACACAACTCAAAATTCCTTTTTCTTTCTTGGAAACTTTCAACTTTAAAATTTTGAACTTTGAAACTGTTAAACTTTGAAACCTTGAAACTTCAGAAGTTTTTTTTTTTGGCCTAAAATTGGCTGAGAGTGTGATTTGGCCTATTCTTGTAGTTGGCATAGGTTTGATGCAAATGAGCAAATAAATTTTGCAGTCTGCACAGAGTTCACTGAACATAGTCCTTGAATCGCACTGGAGGCTTGCGAACTCGTGTGGATTGACGAAGACTGGACTTCAGTTTAGGACTATCCTCAAGAACTGCTGGAGATTTGACGAGAGATTGAGGATCTTGGGATGGCTGTGAATCAGTGACTAAAGGTATGTCGTCTGTAGGGTCATCACTGTTGTCATCTTCTAGGGTGTGGGGGTCAGGGGGTGGGGTTTGGACCTTTTTGAAGTGAGAGACGTTTCGTCTGGTTACTTTGTCTCCTCTTGTGGCTTTCACCATGTTTCCTCTTCTCATCGTGACTTGGAAGGGTTTGGGGTTGAATGGTGAGGTGTGTTTGGATTGTTTGGGTTGACGCACAAGGACTACGTCTCCTGTCTGGATGTTTGACGGTTTGGCAAAGAGGCGAGTGTCAGCGAGTGTCTTCATTTTCGATTTCTGCTGGGCATCTCGTTCTCGCAAGGAGTCATCGCGACTGAGAGACTGGATCTCTGGTAGCTCACATTTCAGCTTTCTGGAGTTGAGTGCTTCGCTGGGGGATAGGTTTGTTGAGGAATGAGGAGTAGCTCTGTACTGGCGAAGGAATCTATGTAACTGTTGTTTCCAGCTTACACCTTCAGTCTCGGCGATGCGTATGACTTTTCCTAGTGTTCTGTTTAGTCGCTGTACTTCTCCGTTTGCTCTTGGCCATAGTGGGGTGACTCGTCGATGTGTAAAACCAAGATATGATGTGAATTTTGCAAACTCATGTCCATGAAATGGAGGACCGTTGTCTGTCTTGACTATGTCAGGAATCCCTTGCCGAGCAAAGATTGCATCTAGCTTCGGAATGGTTGCTCTGGCTGAAGTAGAACTCACAATCTCAACTTCTGGGAATCTGCTATACTCGTCAACGACAACAAGTAAGTATTCACCGGATGCGTATGGGCCAGTGAAATCTACAGCAACTTCTTTCCATGGAGCGGAAGGTAACGGTGTCATCTTCAGTGGCTCAGGACGTTCTGCGCTGTTTGTCGTTGCTGCTTGGCATGGTAGGCATTGCTTCACTTTGTCTTCAACCATTCTGTCAATACCTGGAAACCAAACCTTCTCTCTGATGAGACTCTTAGTCTTGACGATTCCTTGGTGACTGGCATGTGCCAACTCGATAATGGTGGGTTGCAGGGATGCGGGAATCGTTAAGCGGTTTCCTCTCAGGATTGCACCATTGCAGATTGTAAGCTCGCTTCGAACTGGTTTGTATGGACGCATGTCTACATCATCCCAATCGTGTGACTTTCCGGATTGGATGGTTGTCATCAGTTTCTGCATGATGCCATCTTTTGCTGTTTCAGCACGGACGTCCTCTAGAGTTAGAGCTTTTGGGACTGCATTGTTACAGATGTAGTTTATGTAGTCTTCTGCTACTGACTTGTTAGGAGCTTGAGATCCGGGGTGTCTACTGATGAAGTCAGCTGGGTTTTCATCATCTTTTCCCGGCTTGTACACAATGTCACAGTCATATGACATTGTACGCAGTCGCCAGCGATCGATTCTGGCAGAAGTTGGCCTGCTGCTCTTGAAGATTCCAAGGAGAGGCTTGTGGTCTGTGATTATGCGAAAATGGGCACCAAAGACGTAGAGATGAAAACGCTCGACGGCCCAGACCACTCCTAGCATCTCACGCTCTGTTTGGGAATATCTGGATTCTACATCTGACAGTGTACGACTGGCGTACGAGACAATCTTTCCATCTTGTGACAACATTGCGCCTAGTCCTACTGGACTTGCATCCACGATGATATCTGTCGGTTTGCGAGGGTCAAAATACACCATGACATTTGTGTTTGTCAGGATACTTTTCAGTTCGTTGAATGATGAGATTTCCTCCTGCTCCCACTTCCACTTGGAGTCTTGATGGGTAAGGGCGCGAAGGGGGCTAGTGACCGTTGCATAGTTGGGGATGAATCGTGAGACATATGATGCTAACCCGAGGAAAGACTTGACTTCTTTGGCATTCTTGGGGGGTGTTGCATTGATGTGGGCCTCAATTTTCTTTGGGTCTGGTGCGATGCCATCTCCACTGAACGTGTGTCCGTAGAACTTAACTTCTGGTTGTGCGAACTTGCATTTGCTCTTGTTCAGTCTGGCGTTGTGGCTCTGGAGTCTGTCAAGAACAGCTTTCAGGTTTCTATCGGCGTTCTTTCTAAACTTCGTTTCTTTCTTCCAGCCACCTCTCTGGTCTTACTTTATAACACTCTTATTCTCCCGTATCTAAATTACGGTAATATAATCTGGGCGCGTACCAGCAATAATAAACTGAACGCTTTGGCTGTCGCACAAAAAAGGGCCATTCGCATTTGCACTCTATCGCATCCTCGGGACCACTCTGCACCTCTCTTTGCACATCTACGCACCCTCACTCTTACTGAGATCAACAAATTGCACACTGGGATCTTTATGTACAAATTTACTAACAATCTTCTCCCTCGCACATTCTCCTCATACTTCACCTCAGTTCATGAAATTCATGATTATTCAACAAGATCCCGCAATAATCTGTTTGTTCCCTTCACTCGCACCTTGTATTCTATCAACACCCTTCGGTTTGACGGTCCTCGTTTATGGAATGCCATCCCCAATGACATAAGAACGGAGTCGTCCGTGGGTCGATTTAAGATCTCTTATAAACGAGTCCTCCTCTCCCATTATGTTACATAGTTTTATTTCTCTCCTTTATATCTCTCCTTTATTTCTCTCCTCTATTTCTCTCCTTGTTTATTCACGTTTGAAGTCGTCATCGGTTTTTGAATTGATAATTTTTGTTCGTATTTTTTTTGTTTTTTTGCCGTTAGCTATCGTCGTGTAATAAGTCTTTTGTCTTGTCTGTCTCGTCCGTGTGTCGTTATCATGTTGTTTTTCTGTTGTTATTGTTGTCTGTAAGGGCTGTTTCCTACAAGCCTCGGCTTACTTAAACAGCCCATACTCCTTAGTTTCTTTTGTACATAAATCGAAATAAGTTTAACATTTCTTCATAGCGTATCTTACTGGTATTAATTTTTTTTTTGAGACATATTTATTGATTTTGTTATCTTGTTATTTACCAGATTTCTTTTTTAATTGATGGATGTATTCTCTAAAGGAGTATGGAATAAATGTTTTCTTGAATTGAATTGAATTGAAATCTTTGCCGTAGACAAGAATGTCGTCTGATACATTCCTGCATCCACTCAGGCCAGTAAGAAGTTGTGCCACGGCTGACTGGAATATCTCAGAGGCAGCGTTGATACCAAACATCAAACGCTTGTAGCGGAAGAGACCGACATGGGTGCTGAAGGTTGTGATGTTGCGGCATTCTTCTTCCAGTTCAAACTGGTGGTAGCCTGCTGTCATGTCTAGTGTGCTGAAGACTGTACACCCATTGAGGTCAGTGATGATGTCATCAAGGGTAGGCATGGGGTGTCGTTCTCGTTGGACTGCGCGATTGGCTTCTCTCATGTCGACGCAGATTCTGATCTCACCTGAGGGCTTTGGAACGACAAGAATTGGGCTCACCCATAGGGTAGGACCGTCAATTCTCTCTATGATGTCTGCATCTTCCAGTCGCCGGAGCTCACGCTCGACATCTTTGCGTGTGTGGAAGGGTATGCGACGATGCTTTTGTTGCTTCGGTTTTACGTCAGGGTCGATGTGAAGAGAGATCTTGACATCTTTGATTTTCCCAATGCCAGAAAACAAGTCGCCATACTGCTGCATTATCTGATCATGTGTCATGGCAGTGGCGGTTGGTGGTCGCTGTGGCTGATCTGGTTGGAGGTTGCAGGTTACATGGTTTGCATTGAGGGAGATCAGCTTGAGTTGTTTGGCAGTTGCGAAAGATAGCAGGTTGCAACTGTGTGTGTTGACAATGTGGAACTCGGTAGAGCAAGAGTTGGGACCGACTCTTACTTCAGCTTCGATGACACCTAGCACTGGTAGGGGTGTATTTGTACCGTAGGCGAATACTCTGGAAGTATAGCTTTTCGTGTCTTGAGTGTCTGCCCTCTACTTCGAAGGAGATCAATGGATTTGGAGTCTAACACGTTGACGGATGCTCCTGAATCTATCATGGCAGACAGGGTAGTGTTGCCGATGGTCATTTTGCAGGTAGGTAGATTAGCAACATGAATGACGTAAGCGCTGCCACGTTGGTTGGCGAAGATGTAGTCATTGTCAGAGTCATCTTGTTCTATGACGTTGACTTTCGCTGATGCTGATCGGCATACGGAATCACAGTGTCCGATTTTTCCACAGTTTCGGCACTTTTTTCCTTTCGCTGGACAGGTTCCAGTATGGGGATAGATTCCTCCACAAAAGTAACAGGTACGGTTGGGGCGTGGTGGTTGATTTTGGCGTGGTGGTTGGCGGTGCCTGGACTTGGATCGGCCTCGGTTCTGTGATGCATTTCGCTGTCGGGGAGGGCGGGGCTTGAAGGACCTGCTTGTGTATGCCTTGTCACGTCTGGTTCTGCCATCATCGGACTTTGTGATAGCATTTGTTGTTTCAGCTTTCCCTGCTTCTACAGCGTCAGCTTCTCGTTCGCTTGTCTCGAGGGCACGACCACTGGAAAGTAAGTTTTCCAGTGTCATTGGTTCACGCAGAGCACGTCTTCAGAGGCGTTGTGATTGGCAACTGAGGATGATTTGTGCACAGATTTCTTTGTCGACATCCTGGAACTCACACGTCTGTGCAAGTTGACGCAGTCGAGTATGGTACGTATCGAGAGTTTCAGTTTTGCCCTGTTTGGCCTGCCTGAACTGATATACCTCGTAGGCTATGTTATGTCGAGGATTGAATTATTTTGTCAGGTGCTCAGTTGCTGACTTGTAATCATCTCCGACATCCTTGAGTGTTTCAAACACTTCATCAACATCTGTACCCGCATAGTGTAACAGTAGTGCACGTTTTCGATTGTCATCTTTTATGTCCATGGCCACCATTAGCCGTTCAAATCTCTGGAGCCATTTCTTCCAGCGAGGACCAGCATTAGCATCTTGATGAATGTCAAATCTTGGAAAAACAGGTAGCAGTGTCATGCTTTACGATAGCGATATTCAACGAGCACTGTGAAACTGTCGAGATAATGTTCTGTACAGCGTTGGTGTAACAGAGTTCACGTTGACCAGTTACGGTATGGATTTACAGTTCTGCTTTCCGATTATTTCTTCAAAAGAAACGTTATATTCAACGAGTGTGAGACTCACCACGTTGATACTGGTTGATGCAATGGATTGCTGGATCAGTTTTGTGTTAGTTCCATCCGTCCTCGTCGCCAATGTGATGTTTGAAACACTCAAGGATGTCGGAGATGATTACAAGTCAGCAACTGAGCACCTGACAAAATAATTCAATCCTCGACATAACATAGCCTACGAGGTATATCAGTTCAGGCAGGCCAAACAGGGCAAAACTGAAACTCTCGATACGTACCATACTCGACTGCGTCAACTTGCACAGACGTGTGAGTTCCAGGATGTCGACAAAGAAATCTGTGCACAAATCATCCTCAGTTGCCAATCACAACGTCTGTACAGCGTTGGTGTAACAGAGTTCACGTTGACCAGTTACGGTATGGATTTACAGTTCTGCTTTCCGATTATTTCTTCAAAAGAAACGTTATATTCAACGAGTGTGAGACTCACCACGTTGATACTGGTTGATGCAATGGATTGCTGGATCAGTTTTGTGTTAGTTCCATCCGTCCTCGTCGCCAATGTGATGTTTGGAACGGAATATGGACACAGATTTGAGAGTAACTGTTTTATTCAGGATCGCATGTGATACAGTTGCCTGGTCAAAGATATACAACAACAGAGGGCGCTGTTCAACTACACTACAACAGCCACCATGTAACCAGGAAGAAATCTCAAGGCAGGTCAATGACCTTCTTGACCGGGAAATAATTGAAAAGTCGGACAGTCCTTGGGCATCTAATGTTGTTCTTGTAGCAAAGAAAGATGGTTCCAAACGGTTTTGTATTGACTACCGGGGTCTGAACCCTGTTACCATAAAGGATGCGTACCCAGTTCCTAGAATTGATGACACCCTTGATGCCTTATCCGGGGCAAAGTGGTTCACAACCTTAGACCTTTCTTCTGGGTACTGGCAAGTTGAATTAGACGACGAAGCTAAGCAAAAGTCTGCATTTGTTGTGAGAGGGGGGTTGTATAGTTGGAAGGTTATGCCTTTCGGCTTATGTAATGCCCCCGCCACTTTTGAAATACTCATGGAGCGAGTGGTCGCCGGCCTTCAGTTACAGACACTATTAGTGTACTTGGACGATGTTATCGTCTATGGGAAAACGGTTGAAGAAGAACTGACCCGATTGAGGGAAGTTTTTCACATATTGCGATGTGCAAACCTTAAGTTGAAACCTGCCAAATGTCACATGTTTAAGAGGTGTGTAAAGTATCTCGGCCACCTGGTGTCAGAGAATGGCATCGCAACCGATCCCGACAAAATAGTGGCGATCAGAGATTGGCCGACCCCTACCAACGTTAAAGAAGTGAGAAGTTTTGTAGGTCTCGCCTCCTACTACAGGCGATACATAAGAGGTTTTGCTGACATAGCGAAACCCCTTCACCGACTTACTGAAAAGTCCCGAGAATTTGAATGGGACGAAGATTGCGAGAGGTCCTTTCAGACCCTTCGGAGGCGCTTGCAAGAGGCGCCCATTCTTGCTTACCCCAAACCTACGGGGCAGTATATAATTGATACAGACGCAAGTGGGGTTGGTATAGGTGAGGTGCTTTCCCAGATTCAAGATGGGACGGAACGGGTAATTGCTTATGCCAGCCGAAGTCTATCAAAGCCAGAGCGCAATTATTGCGTAACTCGCAGAGAACTCCTTGCAGTAGTGTGTTTCTTAAAGAACTTTAAGCAGTACCTGTATGGAAACAAAATTATCGTCCGAACTGACCACGGCTCCTTACGTTGGTTGACTAATTTCCGGGATCCGGAGGGTCAACTCGCTAGGTGGCTTGAGGTTATCGGCGAATATGACTACTCGATTATCCACAGGCCGGGTCTGAAACATGCTAATGCTGACAGTCTCTCCAGACAACCCTGCCGCCAATGCGGTATGCGACCAGACAATCTGCTGGAAGATGTAGATTCTGCAACACCTACTGAAGCTACTGAGTCACAGGTTCGAGTTGTGAGAGCACAGCCAAGTGTGACGTGTGAGGTTGTCAGAAAAGGCACAGTTAGAAGATCAATCCATGGCATGGATTATAGAAGCCAAAGAAAAAGCTACCGGTAGACCGGAATGGGATACCATTGCCCTGAAATCAGTAGTGGCAAAGACGTACTGGTACCGTTGGGACCAATTGAGAGTCTTGAATGGGGCACTCTTTCGCAGATGGGAAGCTGGTGAAGGTAAAGGTGTGCAATGGCAAACAGTGTTGCCAAAAGGACTACGAGAAAGTGTTATGTCTGAATTGCACGGAGGCGCCACCAGTGGCCACCTGGGATTTTGGAGAACATTTGCCCGATTGACTCCCCGTTATTTTTGGTATGGGATGGGCTCAGGCCGATCTCCGCTCACATATTCGGCAATGTGACCGGTGTGCGAGGAGGAAGTCGCCACCAAAGAAAAGTAGGGCCCCTTTGGCAGCAAATCCAATGGAGAGGGTTGCCTTGGATATTGTAGGCCCCTTACCTGAAACGGCAGATGGCAATCGATGGATACTAGTAGTTGGTGATTATTTCACCAAATGGGTCGAGGCTTATCCACTGGTCGATACCACGGCTGAAACTGTTGCCAAGACGCTGGTCACACAGTTTATTTGTAGACTAGGGGTCCCGACAGAATTACATTCTGACCAAGGGCGAAATTTTGAAGCGGCTGTGTTCTCAAGTGTATGTAAAATCTTGGGCATACATAAAACAAGAACCACCCCGTGCAATCCCAAATCGGATGGATTTATCGAACGCTTCAACCGAACACTAATAAATAAGGTCGCCACCATGATTGAACCAAACAAGCGCCAACGAGATTGGGACGTACAACTGCCGTACGCCACCTTTGCATACCGCTCTACTCCCCAGGAGAGAAACGCCATTCATGATGATGATGGGCCGAGAAACGTCCCTACCAATAGATCTCACCACAGAAAATGCCCCACGAGAGGCCAATGATGAGGCGGATTATGTAGAGGAGCTCCGACACAGAATGCAATGTGCCCACGAGCGAGCACCTCGGGGCTAGCGCAAGACGACAGAAGAAAGTATATGACCGTCAGGTCGGTGGTAAGTGCCTGCAAGAAGGTGATTTTGTTTGGCTATTTAATCCCGCCAAAAAGAAGGGCGTTTGCCCCAAACTCGTAAGCCATTGGGAGGGTCCCTACTTGATCCTTTCCAAATTGTCGGATGCTGTTTATCGAGTACAGAGGAATAAACAAGCAAGACCAAAGGTCGTACATTATGACCGTCTCAAAATGTATGAAGGGGAGCCAATGAAGGCGTGGAACCAGACCCAATGCACATTGAAAGACACTGGCGAGCGGTTAATTGACAACCCTGCCCGAGAAGATCAGTGTGGTAACTCTGAGTCAGATCAGGGAATAACCAATGTTATTGACCCTGATAATGGGGTAGAACAAACGGAAATTATCCGGGTTACTGGGGAAAATGAAACCCCTGCCGAAGTGGACGGGTTAATTAGCCCTCATAGGGTGGAAATGCCAACCCAAAGCAGGAGAAATCCCAAGAGAACCCACAAGGTACCCGTAAGGTATCGATAAGTGTAATAATTGTACATATTTCTGTTCATGTTTCTCATTTTAGAATGGCCCAACGAGCGCCAGATGATCTCGATCCTAGCCGGCTTTTAAAGTGCCGAAGAAATACCAAGGTGTTCTTACAGAGGCGCAGCCTCTACAGACATATACAGGCAGCCCATTGGCCACCCCTGGTAGCCTCCTGCCTCCGCTGCTCCTTTTAAGAGCAAAAGGAGGGACAACCTCAGGCGCCACTACCGCCGAGTGCACCCCTCTCACCTTGACGACCTCGGAGGCATCCTGATGAGCCTTGGCGAGAGCAACTCCGAGCCGTCACCATCAGCCACCAACCAACCCAGAAGTGGCATAAGGCGCTGGGGTGCTGAGCCGCCATTGGGCCAACCCCGGATGGTTCCTCCATCTGTCTCTCCAAGGATGAGGGCGACCCATGCTAAGGAGTAACCCATGGCGGTGGAGCCTGTCCCCTGTGCGATGGCTACGCAGCCCTCCTTGACCCTCAACGATCTGCCACCAATCAACGAAGAAGCCCTAATCTTATCACCGTCGCCGTCCATGAGCCTTTTCATGGACGAGCTTGACATCGGGGCTATGATCACAGCACCTCCCGTGCCAGCCTACACAGCATCCCCCGTGCCAGCTGCTGCCACAGCACCTCCCGTGCCAGCCTACACAGCATCGCCCGTGCCAGCTGCTGCCACAGCACCTCCCGTGCCAGCCTACACAGCACCTCCCGTGCCAGCCTACACAGCATCCCCAGTGCCCACTGCTGCCACTGCGCCTCCAGCCCCCCTCGGTGGCAAGCCATTGGCCTTGCTGAAGTCCCAGCAGGCTCATCACCCCGAGTCCTCCGATGACAGCGACGATAGTACTGCTGAGGATGCTGCAGACACCGATGCACCAATTCCAATATCTTCGAAGGCTGTCACTACCGTCAAGAAGACCTTCTTGGAAACGGCCCTGGAAGGGAGGGTGACCAAGGTGACAGAAACATTGAACAAATACTACCGAAGTGGAGATCTTAAGCAGGTCCGTAGGGTCCAGGTTTATGAGATCACCAAGTAGATAGCAGCTAGACGTCTTCTTCACCACCCAATGAATTGTGGACAGTTAATATTAATTAGTCAGTTGTGTTTTGATTAGCAAGTGTTTAACTGCGTTATATGAAAGTCTTTGGAAGTTTTCACACACAAAGCCCCAAATGTGTATTTTCGTGCATAAAATAATTGTACCGAATATTGCTATGCTCGTAAACTAATTTAGTGAACTGTTTTCGGCCTTATTAAACAGGGACCGTTCAGGCCTCGAATGGGGCTGTGTAACGGAAATTAGTTTACTCACGTTGAAGATTTTCGCCTTGTAATTTTTGTACTTAAGTGTATACTTCTGCCGCGCGTAATAGCAAGCGCGTGAAGCGCCTTGTTGGGCGCATTGTCATTTCACTTGTGCAAGCAGCGCGAAATTGTGCGCTATTGGGCGCGTGTATTATTGGGCGCCGCTTATCTGGAGTTTGGGCGCGTCCGTATTTCCTTATGTGTACATGGCGCATGTTTGGGCGATTTTTTTATAGCTGCGCTGTGGCGCGAAGTTTAAGTTGGTTGCTAAGTACAGTCTAGTTTAGGGTCACTTGCCGGGTTGCTGCCGACAGTGCCACATCGAATTTTCTATTGTGTCAGCCCATAGTCAGATAGTACCAGTGTATAGTCTACCACTTCTGGGGATTTTTCAAGGACCTCGTCTTAACCGGTAAGAACATTTATTTCTAGAAACGAACTTTATTGTTACCTGTCAGTAAAAGAAGGATTCTAGGCAATAATTTGTCCTGCTTTGTGACTGATTTTAACTGCAGATAGGCCTAGGCCTAATCGGACACCTCCTGCGGGTCCGATTGGCCAATTTCACTTGCACCTCCGGAGGGAGAGCGCTAGTATTTTACTAGTAATCTTATTGCTCTGGTATATAACCTGAGTTAATTAGCTCAGAAACTGAGCTAGTCGAAAGTAAGTTAACTGCATTCTGTTCATTGTTATTGTTTCCCTTTTATGAATTGTTGCGGACCGGAATAAATGTATTCCTTGTTTTGTTGTTCATTCACATCGTGTCCAATTGTTTATTCACTTTTGTCCGTCCAATTGGCCCATAAATTAGGATATATTTTCCTAAAAACGAATGTCCCCGCAGATTATACTTAGCCGCTCAAGTGTAATTTGTTATAATAAATAATTATCGTGGCAATTATTGGCGCCTCCCCGCGCCGCCTGACCACTACTTAAACGACTTTGCGATTGCATCTCCCCTCACCTAATTGAGGTCCTATCCTCTTTGTAAATGTGACTTGCCACTAAGTTGTTATAGCGCCCTCTCTCGAACACCAACGAACAGAGGCATTGTCTAAATTTCCATGGAGGTCGCCATCTTGAGCAACGTTTTGTTTTAGTTGCGATAGAAACGTAACAAGTCGTCAGAAATTACCAATTTGCGTCAACTACAAATCCAGTGCACGCAAGGAGGTAATCTACACCATTCTTATTGTCATACGAGTTTGGAAATGGGAAATTTGGTGTCTTTATTTGTGTTTTGCTTGGGCAAACCTGCCCTAAATTGTACGCACATGTGGAGATACATGACCCTGTAATTTTGTATGTTTATTAATGACTGTTAGTGTTAGTTGTTTACATGTACTTAATGCTTTTGTAACTTTGTTCTTTGTTACTATACAGTTTTCACGGAGCATTAAGGGAGCATTTCGGGAACTGTGAGGAGCCTTTCTAGAGTCCTTTAGGAGCTTTAAGTTTGAAGAGCTTTATAGGAGCTTTTGGGAATTTGCGAACCTAGTTTGGATGTACATTCTGTGATATCCAAGAAGTACCATGAGAACAATGACCCTAAACGCTTCAGTCGAGACCCTTGTGTTTTGTGCTTGATTTATTTGACTTCATTAGACCTCGATCCATTCAGCACACTTGCGAACCCCCCCCCCCCCCCCCTAACGGCGATACAACTGAAATTAAGGATTGAAACGACGACGATGAACATGATGAAAGTTACCCTGCGGGTGCGAGTGCCGACCGTTACACTCTTTATTTCCTATCCCCTGGTTGGTGCGTCCCCCAGATCCAATTGTCGTTCCCGCCACAATATTCAGTTGTGCTCCAAGACCATTGTTACAATTCAAAGTATGGTTGCACCAGCCCTACATCTGAACTGTTCCATGTCACCACAAACTAGTTGTAATAGAGTCTTTGCATGCTAGCCATCTTGGACGTAAAGTGCTTTTCAAATTTGTTCCCCAGGGATAGGCACCTTTTCAGCAGGCCCTGTTAAAAACAAAATACTTGATGGTTGCTCTATGCTGAGTGTTTATAAATTATGTTACTAATGTTAGAGTGGTATTTGTTCTCTATTTAATATCCATTCTCTATGTGACTGTATTCACGTCAGTGTGGTTTCATACTCTTAATGTTGTTAACCATTTCCAGCTATGTATAAAGTAAATGTAAGATGAACTTTCAATAAAAATAATTCTATAAAACGGAAATGGAAAGTGACAGTCGGCCACAGAAAAAAAAATCACCAAACTTAACAGTCCATGTGCGTCGAATTTTGGGGAGTCACCTTACTCTCTCTCCTCCCCCCTCAATTCCTAACACTGACATTTTGGCATTTATTTAAATTATTGTTTAAAGACACTGAAATCGATATAGTAATTTACATATGGATGTTCACATAATTCACATATGATGTTCAACAGTGTGTGAAATATATGGAAATGTTTGCCAACTTCTAATGAATAATTCACTTCTGTTTGTGAAGGTTTTTTTTTTTTTAACTAATGGCTAACAGGTTTGTTTTCAAACAGATTTTTGCAAATCTCTTCAGTGTTAAAATGTTTTCATGTTTTGTGCATGCAAGAATGAAAGCCTTGTCTTGTGATTTATGAAATGTTTAACATAACATTTTAGGGGATGCGGATAATAGTGTAACATTAGAAATGTTGAACACCATTCCAAAATAATTTGGAAAAATTGAACGTTCCACAGTTAGTTGTTCCATGATTGACATCATTTATTGCATTACTGCAAATTACTGATTCAGCTAAAACTTGTAGAGATGGATAAGGGTTTGTATTACTAATGGAATATGGAAATAAAATTGCTTTAACTTTCGCAAAAAGACATGTATTGCATTGTGTCCGTCATTGAAAAACAACGCACGAATCAAAATATAACATACACGTACATGCGTGCAATACGCACACTGAAAATAGTCCCTGTGAACGGCTTGTACACCCCTTTTTGAAAATGGACGTGTCTGCGCGCGCCACACAGGAATCCATGCGCACTGTGAATTTAAACATATGGAACTGTTTGTCTCATTCCTTCTTTGGGATAGCCGATAAAGGGGGCTATTTATTTGTACAGCGCTCACCCTGGATACGCACTTTTATCCAATCAGGAGTGACATTTAGTGCGCGCATCACGCGCGCGTTCATGGAGACGTAAGAACGTGTCGATGGATTTGGCATGTAAACAGACCATTACAAACTGTTTGTACATGGCGAGTCGCAACATGAACAGCAGTATTAAACTTTACTAAGTCAGTGATTGATTACGTGAAGTGCGTGTGGAACAGTTTTTGTCGCAGCAATTGCGTTTATCCCTTGCATGTGTGTATTCGCCGTGTGTGTCAGTACAAGTCTACCATCGCCTGATCGCGCGAGCGCGCGCGCGCTGAGTTGTTACTTTTGTAACAACACAGTGGTGGAGCGTAGCAAAATGAAGTTCGCCGTATTTTAGGGCGGCCAAAGGACTGATGAGTAAAAAAATATTTGTTTGGTCCTTGGTACGGGGTCTTAGTTTTACCAACTGCATTGAACGATCGATCAAAATGAAGCTTACAAAATCCTCTTTACAGTGCCAAGTGTGAATTTATTACTTGAAGTAACGGAGCGTCATGAATTCTGGAACTTTCAGTGCAGTGCGCACACTGCGGTAGCCCGCCGGTCACGCTGTCAATTACGTGCAAATCTCCGTAGCTCATTCTGCTGTTAGTCAAAATGTGCGTGTTGTCACAAGTAGGAAAATGTACAAGGTACGGATGTATGGTTGTTCATTTTGTAAAACTTTTCCTCCAGACTGTTTAAGTAATATATTTTCTAGTTTAAACTCGGTGTGCATTAATCTGAAAGTCTTGGAAACAGTCGTGAGGCCGTCTTTTTCTTTGCTTTGTGTAGAATCACTATGGAGTAGAGCGCGTCGTGTTCATGCCACTACATGTACACGCGCGTGGTTGTCTATGGAAGATGCGACTTAACTGTTTGTAATGCGAAAACGTGCGTCGAAACCACCCATTTTTTAATACAAATTTGAGTCATCCATTTATTCCAAGACAATTTACTTGTAAAATAAGACCCACACAGCCTTCTTGGAAAGCCGGCGAGCTAATTGAC